GAACTACTCAACAATGTGCATCCACGATCCCGCTCGGGAGGTTCGAACCCAAGGCTTTCAGTTTCACGCGCGAACGCTCAACCTACTGAACCACTGAGCCGGCATCCAATGGTGTTAATGTCTAGTCTCAACCAATCCTCGAAATTTCGCGACAATCATCCATTTCACTGAAGTAGATACCTGTCTCTACCCAACAACGATTGGCTCCACTGGTCATGGCTTCTCACTAAAACTCCGAGAATTCCCTTACAAACCTAGTCACTAATGAGCACATGATAATTATCAGTATTAATTTATTTTAAAATTTACCTATAATCATAATACGAACAGAGAATAAAATTGAAAGATTCCCTTTTATAATGATGTTTGTTTTATAAATAAATTCGAAATTGATACGTTAGTTTATTTTACTTGACCAATTCTTTATGTATTTCTTAATGTTAATAAATTATTAAGTGGATATTGTTATGTTTCTTCTTCTTTTCACGCGTATAAACCATTCACCTTGACCTTGATTTGTTTATATTCTTATTGTTTTTATTGGTAGTCACCATGGTATTCAAATGTGCCCAGTTTAATTCCCTATATAATAGGTCGGAATAATCAATAATAAAAAAATATACACATTGATCATACATCCCAACTATACACCCTACTTGTATGGAACTCTTTATATATTATGACTTTAAATATTCATTCTTTCTTATTGAGTTTATTATTATTATTATACTGAATTAGTATAAATTCCTGTGATATTATTAGAACGGAGGTTTTATGGAGATTGTACTAATTACAACAGTTGAATTCATGAGTCAATCTAAGCTAGGTCATCATTGAACACCTGGAAGTAATAGGACTGGTGAGTAGTGCGCATCCACGATCCCGCATGTGGGACTCGAACCCAAGACCTAAGGCCCCACGCATCAACGCTCAGCCTCTAGACCATTGAACCGGTATTCAAAGGCATTGATGTCTAAGTTCTTCGATGTTAATAAATAGAGGGTCTATTCATGATAACTTTCATTAGTAGAAATGTTCGCTTAATATTTAAACTGTTCATATTTTTAGAAGGGGTTTGGTGGAGGTTTTAGAAATTTCACGAGTTGAAGTCATCAGTCAATTGAAGCTAGACCACCATGGAAAACATAGAAGCACTGGACGGTCGTTTCTTCCTAGTATGAGACTCCTCAGCAGTGCGCATCCACGATCCTAAGTCAATATTTAGTAACTAATATTCAAAAAATTGATTAGTGCATTTTCATGTCGCATGTGTTTGAATGCACTGTGTCTATTTGGTATCCTTTTATCATTTTGAATTCACTTCTCAAACATTCACTGTCTGTGTCAATAAATCATGATTGTTTACGAAACTAAATGGATCTACGTCTTTCAATAAACAAACTAGAAGGTTCGAGTTATTGCAAGCTAAATTTCATAACACTTACCGAGATATATTTTGAAGTTCCTCAGCATATTGTAGTCTAGGACTTTTAGCTGCACAGTTACTCACAAACCATGCTATTTTCTCGATTTACCAGCAGCAAAATTTCGAGAAGGCAGCGGATATCTTGTTTTTGGTCCATGGTACTTTAAATACGGTTCATAGTAACCGTATGGTGAATAAATCGTTGAATCCAAACGAAAGGATATGGTAAAGTTAACCTGAATATCAGTAACAATGTTTAATGAAAGTGCCTAATGCCATACGTATTAAATAATAGTAATAATAATAATATTGTATTCTGAAAATTAGTACAGATTACACACGATGTCAAAGAATGATCTGGCTGATACAATTCCCTAACACTTTCTAGAAGAAAATGAATTACAAATTATTTCAAAGTGAAGATTTTCTACAACTCTAATGAAAAGTGGAGAATTCTGAGTAAAATGAGTACATTACAATATCAGTATTCGTTTACATGTCATAGCAAAACAGGTATAGCAAGCATAAAGTTTTCGTTACTATACAAACAACTGATAGTAATATATAGATTTACCAATCGGTTGGTGCACTGTAAGTAGATAATGATTATTATTACTAATTCATGATATTATATTTGATTCAATGATTAATTATTAACATTTGGAACCGAATCATTATTAGAAAGTGATTTGGTCGATATAAACCACTAAAGCAAAGTACAATTCTTATAGACGCATACGGACAAAATGTACAGATTTACACATATCACTTACTATAGTTAGACAACAAGTGAAAATAGGCAGACATTAAACAATTATTTACTCCTCGCATGTAACTCCACACTAGTATGTGTCCGCGACCAGACCAAGGATCAAACCGAGCATCTTCCGGACTCTCAGAGATCATTCATTATTCAAACCACTGAGTTTCATTTCATTGGTTTGCATTTCTAACTTCAGCTAGTCAGACAAATCGCGAGCTCATCATCTTTTGTCACTCATAACATTTTTCAAATCAATGACAATGTCACCTACAAATTCTGGAGTTGTAGAATTAGTAAGACCTTAAACTCAAGTAAGAGTTATGTTAAATTATGTGATTAGTTTTAGTCAGGATTATAAACATTGTTCGTTAGAAATGTCATAATTACATGGTCAATTAAACTATGAACACTGAAACTGTGAAATAACACTATGCAGCCAAATCAAAGAAAAAACTATTGTAAGTCTATGCTTATTTTAAAAGTGAGAGTATCTGATAATTCTAATAATTAGATCGATCGCACTTTATGATTTTGTAAAACAATGCGTTGTGCTTCTGTTAAAACTAGAACAATCGATATGACTGAGAAAATGGAGATTTGCAGCTCAGGTGAATGATTTAGGTGGAGTTTTGTTCTCTGAGCTGGATGATTTGGTTACAGAGCTTTCATTGTTCTTCTGAACAATATCATCATTACAAATTTCAGGTATAAGTGGAGTGTTCGAATTTCTCTACATATGACTCACAGCTTATCCTGTCGAACTCGATCTTGATTGATTGTTATTGACCTTTAACCTGTTACTTCGTCCTTTATTGTTTTGGTTGTATCGCCTATTTGTTTGACCAAACCATCCAGCTCAGAGGAAAAAACTCCATCAAAAATGGATATGAATTCTATATCAGTGATCGTTAACAGCGATAGTACAATGAGAAGAGAAAATTTGAAACTTCGGGAACAATTTTAGAAATATATATATTGTTCTGACTGAATTACTAGTGTTATAGCCAAAAATCAAAACACATGAAGTCACAGATTCAGATTAGAATCCATTCGATTTGATCTAGCAAACAAAGTAGTAGGATCCACGCTGAAAAAGTGAAGTAAAATGACAAAGGTACGAATTCGTACTTGTTTGTAGTTGTTTAAATTTGTAACTGGTTGGAATTTAATTGATATTCATCCGGTGTTTAAAATGACAGTATTCCTTTACATTCATTGCTTCTTGTTATACGAATTCATTCAGAAACTGTTCATTCGGATAAAGTATGTATCAACAGGCATATCAAAATCGAATCAGTCTATCAATCAGCAAGGAGAGGGATAAATAACTATAAGGTTAATGAACAGATCAGACGTGAAAACAACAATTACATACCTATGGACAACAGTCGTTTGAATTCAACAGAACTAGCAGGTAGTCAATGATGAAGAAACATTAAGTAGTCACATACCTTAAAGTATGTTTTGATGATATAGTCCAGAAAAATAATGAAATATTTTAAGGATTAAACCATTCATCATGAAGAATGAAATCATTTCAAAAGTCTTCGGAGCCTTACCAATCTAATGTGTTGACAGAACACATATAAGTTATGATTTTGTCCGGCCTCTTATCACGTGACCTATCCACCTATCAAAATACGACTTATACAATCTTCGCACTATGCTAAACCAATGACGTTCGACCGGTATGAGCAGTCTAGCGTCCTTACTGGTCCTTTGTCCATCTAGCCCGTCCGCTTGACTCCAGAACACAATACCAGCTTCTCCAATCTAAATCATTTATTCCAAACACACTCGGTTTATATATCAACCAAACAGACCACAACGTACCATAAAATAGAAAATAACATGTGTTCACAATAGAGCCAAAACGTGGCTGTGAATGAGGCAGATAGTAATTAATAGACAGGCCATAACTCAAGAATGATAAATCGTATAGTGATAGTCTATGGGTCAAATTAAAGCTTATAACAAGAAGAATATAAATAGACATAATCTAATTATTGGATAATTATATAATAAGAATATTTATGGAATGTTAGTCTATTAATCGTCCTCGGAAGTTACCTGTAATTCAATCTTCACTGAGATATAACATAAGTAGTGTTGATTAGAAATTATTTTGCTGATATTCTATATATTCGCCTGATACATTAATGATTATGACTGAAGTTAACATGAATTAGTGACTCTTTCAGTTATATTCTTAGTAATTGTCTAATTAAATTCAAGCAACAATCATATTAACATGTTGATATTTTTGACTTGAAGACATTTCATTCAGTAATTGAATCTTATTAGACAACTCAAAGCTAAAAGAGTTAATTCATTTGAATTTGCTTAATGGTACTTAACCATGGTGCCTAATAAGGGATGGGATGCATTGATATGAGTGAACACCATTATATCTTGTTCACACTGATAACTTTCATAACAATATATGTAGTAGATCTTAATTTCCTGAATAGATCTGTTGTCGATTTCATATTTCTTTATCAGATTATTGAAACATTCATCGTAAATCAATGGAATAATATGAACCATCATAGAATGTATACAAGTCAATAGATAAATGTGTATACAAAAAGAATATTGGATGATCAATGAAAGAGTTTTCAATAGAGCTTTCCCTATTTCTATAAACAAATTAAACTAATACAAACTGCTGTTGACGTTTTCCACTATTAGTTTAATTTGTAATAATGAAGTGTTATTAAACTATTTTAAGAATCATTATCTATAAACTGAATCACTATATTATCATTATTACTTTCTAGTTATTAAATATTATAAGTTGTACAATATGTCTCACTCATTTTCTAGTGTGTTTGCCAATGATATATGTTTAGGAGATTCATGTGTTAGACTAAACCATAATTGTCCATTTGGTCGAATTCCATTTGGTTGTTCATCTTTTGTTAAAATAAGTGCATCAGCTTCACGCCATCTTTCCATTCCGGTGATAAGTGTACATTTTGAAGCATAACATTTAGAAAATTTCTTTGGTATATAAATTTTCTGAGATCCATAGCTGAGAAATGTTTTCACCTAATATGCAAGAAAAATAGTAGTGTGTAGTTCATGTCTATATTGTCAAATGTATTAAGTATTTCAAAAGATGGTGTCAATGAACATCCTACTACTGATGTATACATAATATAGCTTCATCAATCAATTATGTTACTGAAGTACATCTATCTCAGTCGTAGTTCAGTCACTAAGACTGTATTCAGACGAATTCAGTTTAAATTTGCTGCCTAAATATTTTTTTATATATTACAGAGATGTTGGTTGGATTTTATGCCTTACTAAAATATTCCTATTACAATGTAAATGTAGTTGATTTTTCTACTGTTTCAACTAATATCTTCCAATGAAATTTACTTTGGAATATATATTACATTTTTTGATTGTGAATACAATCATCTTGAGTACTGTTAGAGGTATGAAAATGGTTTTCACTTCCCGGTTGCCCACACCGTGGAAGAGTTCTTTTAGAAGTACCTGAAGAAGAAATGGTGTTGGACGTGGTCTAAGTGACCTGAGAGCATAATCACAGTGACCAATGGACAATTGCTTGAGGTCGGTCACACACAACCTTTTTGTAAGCAATTTTCGTGTTAGCTCAGGACTTGTTGTGATCTTACTGCCGGAGACGGATATCTGTATGGTAAAGCGAGGTGTGTATATTTAGAGTCGACCTCTTTTAACCCTACCCTTCCTTGTGGCAAGGCAGCATCGCTGTTATCCTGGTTGTCTGAAGGAAACACCTTACCGCCATCACATCTCTGTGCAAACAACAGTACGAATTCGCCCTCATACTTTGAGTTTGCTGCTTTTAGTCTTACCGTTCTTCAAACGACCTCTCTGGCATCGTAAGGCCTTCAGAAACGATTGTTCCAACCAGTATAGCTAGGTTGGTCATCAAGATAAGCAAGCTCGACCACCATATCAAGGTAGCAGCAACGTTGTAGCTGACTGATAATTACGTATTTTCCCCAAATTATGTTAAGATATCTTGAATTGTGACGTTGAACAATTGGAATAGAAACGGTAACTTATTGATAATTCTAGATGGAGTGGTACAATCAAGAGATGAAATCGCTGTTAATCAACTTGAGGGTTTCAGTAGTTCGGTAGGTAGTCTCATTTTGCATAGAAGAGAGAGATCACTGTAAAATACTCCAAAATGGAGTTACATAGTAAACCTATAAAGACCATTATCATTTAATCTCATTGTTTTTTTAATAAACATTTTTATATATCAGTGTTAGATCATCATTTCGCATTGGACAATATCTTTATTAGAAACAAATACATTGTGAGAACAAGCAAATAAAATATGATATCATTAGATTCATTAGAATTAATGAATCATTACGATCATCAGCATCCCATATAACATCATCAAAATTTGATCAGAAATTGATTCATTTGAAACATTTGTGCCATAATGATTTTCGATTTCACTTGATGCGACTAGATACTTAGAATGTGTGGAACCTGATAAAAGAACATTTGAACATTGGGTGGAGTTTATCTTATTAAAGAATTTGTTGATCTCTTCTAACACAAAATGGTTTCTTATTGCTGTAGTAAATGTATCAGTTATCTCGTTAAATAGATCTATAATTTTTGAGTTCGATTCCGGATTTAATTGTTTGAGCATGTATTCCTTCAATTTATTGATAAGCGTTAAACGGGATTTAATAACCACATCTTCATCAAATTGAAGCATAGATTTTATTTCTTACATTTTGTAACTGCAGCATTTATTGTAAACATGATTTAATAAAGAGCGAAAGTTTATTTATAACCAAAAACAGAATTTGAGGGCAAATAGAGTTGACTGAGTTATAACTGGAACTAGATAGTTCAATTGTTATGGCTGTTTGTTATCCGAAATCACCGTCACCATTTGTCATATCCACATCAGTTATTACTTATACTCAAAAGAAGGACCACTACAATTTCCACGACGCAAAAGTAAGAACACGAAGTCTGATACAAGCAAAGATTTACTAACTCTAAAACACGACGACAACCCTAATAGAAAATGAACTCATTTATATATTGATTTGTACAGATATTTGAACATAAGTTAGTAAAAAAAAAGTCACATATATGTAATCATAACAAGTCGCACATTGCATGTCATGCTGAAAATAGGTTACGTTAATTTAATGCAAGAATATCGTATCTTGAATAAACATCATACCGAAGTCTATATTTTATTTATTTGAACATAAATATTGGTGCAAAGGGGCGACGAATACATGTGCACCACACGAGTCACTAGATTTGTGTGTGGGTTATGATACTTCCCGGGTGCCCAAACCGAAGGAGGTGTTTTTCTAAGGGAGCCACACCCAGATCCTTCAACCTAAAGGCCTGATCCACAAGGAAGTGGAGCAACTTTAGGAGATGCAGTCCCATATTCGTGACCAATAATTGGTTCATACGCCATTTATTCCCTTAGAATCCTGGAGCCCATGTACACCACTGGTTTGTAATCAGGGTCTTCCAACTCCCTTATGTGGATCTTCCATATACACCAACCCGGTTAAAGGAAATCCTCTGAACTTTATCGAGATCATTTGCATTCGTCTCAGCAGAATGCATTCAAGACTTAGTGAAAATAAAAAGCAAAAAAACGAATTCCACATATACTCTGATATATCATCAAACTTCTCGAGTCAGAAATCTCACTATATCATAATACGATTGAAGACATGTTAAAAAAATACATCTTCTCCTGAACAAAGATCAATTAGCGGTCAAACGCCATGACATATTCTCAGTTATAACAATGAACTTGAACTACTGTGGACACACATTCGACTGGAAAAACGTTGAGATATTGGAGAGAATTCTAAAAGTACCAGAGAGATTTTAGAAGCTTGACACTCAGTTCAAGCAGCAATCAACAAACACATTGAAATCTATCAAAACTATCGACCAATTAGAATAATCATGGACAAATATAGGATCAAGAATCAAATTAATGGCAGATAAAACCAAATTAAAGAAGTAGGCAATCACAGGATAAGGGTCAACGACAATCAATCAACATCGAGTTCGACAGGATAAGCTGTGAGTCATATGTAGAGAAATTCGAACACTCCACTTATACCTGAAATTTGTACTGATGATATTGTTCAGAAGAACAATGAAAGCTCTGTAACCAAATCATCCAGCTCAGAGAACAAAACTCCACCCAAATCATTCACCTGAGCTACAAATCTTCTCCATCATCTCAAATACAACAGTATATTCAAAAAAGCTGAATAAATAGAAATAGTACCATTCTATTTAGAGCCAAAACAAAGTTCTATTTTTTATTTAAACGGTCAACTTACTGAATTATTTTTACTTAATGAGTCATATAATCTCTTCAGTCTGTTTTCTTCTACATCAAATCTCAGAGGGTGATTTTGAATGGAAGTTTCATTAATAGTAGAATACATTTTGTGCAATTTCATAGCCAGGTTGAACTCTGAAGAGTTTGAAGCAAATATATTTCCATCAATCAGTTCCATACTCTCTGACAAGAATGTGTAACTTTCATTTTATATACCATGATAGAGTAAACTTGGTGAGATGTTGATCAACCATATGATGAAAAGGGCAATGAGTATGAAGCAAGTGGCTTTAATTCTAAGAGTCCATTTATCACGTTGCGCAATCATAATGTAAATGCCAACCACGTCAAACCCCTATGAGATAGTTCAGTATAGATACACAAGATGATAGATAAAAGCATGATGATTGTATGCTAAGTAGTAAAAGTAACAAATTAAATTTGTCTCATTACTAGCTAGGATGGGTTGATCACTGTAACTAGATGGTCAGTCAGTCACACATAACCATGATTTACTACGCGTTATTCACGAACAAAACCCATGGTTCCTTCGTTTGACAGAAGATCAGATGGAGAGCATTCGCTCTTTACTGATATAGGGAGCTGCAGCTTTTGTAATAACCGATCTTGTCTACGGAACATTACGAAAGCGAATCATCGCACGGTAGGTCTGCAGTATGCATCAACGCGTGTTCAAATAGTCTAAACTTCCGGGTTTGTTCAATAGTTTTAATAATGTTGACTGAATGGGTAGTTTTGGTCACTTCGCAGTGTACAACATCAAGCTGGGAGACAAAGCACAGACACTGCAACGCTTTTTCCTCTGTCATTACAATCAGAAGAAAATAACTTGCCAGTTTACAAACATCACAGGAATTGACGGTATTCACAAATCCTTTAAAAAGGAATCTCAATCTACTAGTTGGTGGCATTGGATACAGTCACTGTGTTAGCATTTGAGTGTATAGTCCATGCAATATAATGACACTGTTAACTGAATAAGTCTCTATGAAATACGGTGGGTATCGTATCACTTTATCATTCTACTAAAGCTTGTTAAGATTTATGTAACATTTTTTATTTTATTCAGCTGTAATATATTCTTTTCAGTTGATAACATTTCTATTATAGTACCGATTCTTCAAACCAAATTAATTATCCGCGTGTCATGAATTGAATATATTCATTTAAAATATTCATAAGGTGTGAGGTAACCTTACGAAAGCATTCTTACACTTCAGTGATTATTACATGTTATAAGCCCAAATTATGCTTACTATATATTTATTTAACGACATAGGCTTATCCAGTATAAAAATTCATCTTGCGTGTAAAACATTCACACTAGATAGTATTCATATAATCATTAATTCTAACTGAAAACTATTTCGTTTATTCATATAGATGTACGTATATATTTAAATATATCATCTGCTACAAAAGTAAATCATTAACTTATTATGAGCAAAGATAGATGGTGGCTAGCAGTGGAATCCAGGACGGTCGTTTCGTCCTATTCGGGACTCGTCAGCTGGATGTATCTACATCTGAGTTGATGTTCACTCTGGGACTCGAACCAAGTACCGTCCGTGCGTCAAACTGGGTTCCATTGGTAGCCACTATCCGTCTTTGCTGATAATATGAATGGAAAGATTCAAGTAAAACAATACCAAGTGAATTAAATCCTTAACTGTTGATTGTCAACTTACGCGTCCAGTTGCAAAATTAAATTAACTTAGGTTCCAGAAATTACTAATTCCTGTCATAATAGAAATTAAACTCTTTGATTATCCATTACACTAAGTAGATGAACAAGTGGAATTCAGTAAACTGATTTCACGACAATTCGATTGTTATTAGAATAATGTTGTGGAGATTGCTAAGTATTAATTAAGATCATAAACCTGTCAGAGTTAGACGACCACCAGGAACGTGGTGGTATTGGACGGCAGTCCAGTCCTAGTGTGAGACTCCTCAACAGTACGTATTTACGGTCCGGCCTGCGGACGCTTAAACTGTAGACCACTGAACCGGTATCTAACAATGTCAATGTCTAACTTCAACCGATTCACGATCGCCTCATGATTTAAATTAAAACTTAACAATCTACACAACCCTATACTGATAATCATTATGTGCTCACTAATGGGTAGCGTCCGGAGGTAATTCTCATAGTTCTAGTCAGAAGCTGTGATCAGTGGGGCTAATCCGTGTCGGGTGTGATGCAGTTACCAGCCGAAGACAATAAAAGATGATTGCACAATACAGTGGATCGACCGAAGTTGGACAATAACACCGTTGGATACCGGCTCAGTGGTTTATAGGTAAAACGTTCGTGCGGTGGTCGTCTAACACTGATCTTGATTTTACTGTTACGAAATACTGTATGATAATTGATTATTACTACATTATATAGATTTCCCCCATCACTAAAAATATTTTGAAATTTCTTAAGTAAATAGTAAGAAAGGTGAACACGAGAATTCATCACATTGCATTCACTGTATATATCGATGAGTGGGGTAGGAAAATAATGATTGGTTGTGTGCCTAGTCTGATAGGTATTAGGTGTGCTATATAATTTCCTAACCTCATTATTATTGTCATTGTTGTCCGTTGTTTGCGTGGAAATATAATTACGTTCTTGTCAGACTAGTCACTTGTTATTGATCCGAGTTGTGTTGAAATCCTATTGTATAGCCACTGGGAAGGTTAATAGTTTAGATATTCGTCTAAGACAAATTAGCATTCCATTTGTGTAAGGGAGAAGACCGAGGGTTATTTCACATATAGGATTTACTGACTCTTGTATAACGGTTCATTTTGATTCTATTGATGATTCATTGGATACCATTGTAGTATAAATTTGTTAAACATTAACAATTTCGAGACCAAAAAATGAACCACTGTCGTTTTACAAACTTGCTGTTACTATAATCAACAGCATTTAATCATAAACTGTCATTGATATAGTTGAATAAATGCATAACTTCTTTAAAATATCTCACGGAGTGATCTGTTCAATATAGGGATAATACTAAATGTACTTAACTCATTACAATACTGTAGTTTCATGATTTCAAACAGCTTCCAAATACTTAGGTCATGTGATTATACAATTTCCTATATTGATTATCTCCATTCCGTGTTCTGTGTATTCTGTTGTTGGTTTTTTAATGATAGATCATTTATTGCGAAAACAATCACACTAGGATTATAAGGAAAGATGGATAGTAGCTAGCAGTGGAATCCAGGACGCTCGTTTCGTCCTCTTTGCTTATTCTGCTTGTAAATGAATGCAATATCGAGGCAATAAGCACGGTATGCACATATGCCAATAAGAGACTGATCAATTTCAGTCGTAAACATCAATGGGAAGATTCAAGTAAAACAATACCAAGTGAATCACACTAGTTTCGATAAGTTGCATTGTAAAGTGTGCTACCTATATTGACATAAGTAGTATATTACGCGAGTCAGGAATAGAATGTCTGACAACAAAAGTTGAAGATTGAGGAGGAAAGAACGGAAACAGAAAGCAATTGGTATGGCAATACAGGGACAATGAAGACTGAGACAATTAATGAACATTATGTAAATTAAGTATTAAAGTATGATTTTTCTATTTCATTAAGTAACTCGGTATTCTCGTGCCAAGTATGGTTCTATTGTCCTTACCTGTCTTCTCCTTCATTACAATATATTTAGTATATATGTAACATGCCATTAGACCAATTGTATGTACTTAAATTGTTAGTACCATGTTTATGAGTAAACATTCTATTAGGAATTCATAAAATACAATTATTTACAATATTACGTTTATCAGAAGGGGTTTGTGGAGATTTTAGAAATTTCACATATTGAAATCATGAGCCAGTTGAAGCTAGACAACCATGGAAAACCCATATCAGTTCGAGTTGCCATACAGAGAAGCAGTTGTCGAATTCAGAAAATTAGAATTCGGGAGAACACTAAGAGTGGATGCACTTGAGCCATTGCAAACGATTTTCAGCCATGTCATTCAACGTCTCTAGCCATCGGTTGCTATCGTTTCGTGGATCCCAACCAGTTAGTCTACACTTACCAACACAACTCAGTCCACTTGTCAGTGACTTCATGGATTTGTACCATGTTTTGGTCTGGCCACCTGTAACTTTCTTCCAACCTACTCATACACCATAAAACATCACACGTCGTGGCAGTCGTTGGTTGGGAATACGTAACACGTGTCCAGCCATCTCAACTGATCAAGTTTCACTACTTCATCAATTGATTTGTCATCCTCACCTAGTACCCGTTTCCTAACATCTACTCGGTGGTCTCAGGATATACGAGCAATGTTTCGAAGACACCTATGATCGAATACTAGTAACCTACGAATATCCTCTACTCTTACTGGCCATGTTCCACAGCCATAAAGTAGGACGGAACGAACTGCTGCTCAGTAAACCCGTCCTTTGTTTGATAGACTGATATCTCGCCGACGGCACAAATGACGCAAGTAAACAAAAGCCAGTCAACGTTCTGAATCCGTGCTGAGATTTTGTCATACACCAGACCACAAGGGCTGATAAGAAGCTTGTATACAGTTGTTCAGTTCAACGAACGATTAACAACTGAAGTTATGAATATCTTAGTGAATGGTAATAGTCTGGATCAAAGTTTTTGGTGTACCCCGACTGAGACAGGCCTAAAGGCTTGATTCACAAGTCAGTGGAGCAACTTCAGGAGATGCAGTCCCATGGTAGCCAATGGCCAACGACTGATTCGTACTCCGTCTGTTTCCTTAGGACCATGGAGCTAATGTGCGAAATTGGTTTGGAATCAGGGTTTTCCAACTCCCTTAGGTGGACTCTTAGTGTCTACCAACCCGTTTAAAGCGCCGGACATTCGCTTTCCGTCCTTTGAATTTCGTAAATAAAAACCGTGGTGCGAGAAGGTAGTGTGTAAGACTTCTGTGTCAATGGCAGTATACGCGTGGTCATGTGAGAGCATTTCGAAAGAGGAGCTAACTCTGCCTACCTTCAGCCTTACCAGAGCATTTAGGGGCGCATTTCGGATAAATTTTAAATCAATTGACTCACGTTCATGTCAGGCACAAAATTTAACAATTGAGCA